GGCCAAGCAGATCGTCCAATCCTGCGCTGCCACCTGTGAGGTGCAGCAGCATGGCTGCTACAGTGGTTGCGGAGGAGAGAGCGGCAGCAGCAGACGGGGTGAACCAGAGAGGTGCGGAGGAGAGGAGAGGAGGCAGGGAGGATGGTACTGCTGTGGGTGTTACTCCTGCCACCACACCCCCACCCACTCCCATCGCCATTGCCGCTGCTGCTGCCGCTGCAGCTGCAGCAGCAGCAGCAGATGCAGCCCCTCCTGCTGCCGCTCCCCCTCCACCTCCCCGTCCACCGCTCCCTCCCCTTGCCCCCTCATCAGCCCGCCTGCAATCCAAGCAGTGGAGCCTCCTTCCCCGCGCCCCACCACCATGGCAGCAGCTTGAGTGGCAACAGCAGCCAGCACAGCGTCACACAGCAACGCCTCCCGCCCTGCCAGCACAGCTGGGAGGCTCAACCACACGCCTGCTGCAGTCAACCCCCCTCCTGCTGCTGCCAAACTACATGTGTCTGCACCAGACGGGTTACCAGGCGCACCACCACCTGCCACTCCTCCTCCTCCACCTCCTCCTCCTCCTGCGGCGCCTCCTGCTGCTGCGCCTGCAGCTGCAGCGGAGGGATCTGTGGGGTCGAGTCTGTGGTCGGCCTTCCCACCTGCGGGTCCTGTCAGGGCAGTGTCGCGGACTTGTGGGATGGGAGGCAGGCCGAGCAGCGAGCAGGACCCGTCCAGATCACCCACGCTGCCGTTGCGATGCGCGGGCAGTGTGGACACTGCTGTTGCTGCTCCTCCGGCGCCGCCGCCGCTGCTGCTGCTGCTGCCAGACTCACCTCTCGGCCTGATTGCCCCAGCGCCAGCACCGCCAGCAGCACTGCTAACACCACCAGCAGCAGGGGAGGAGCAAGCAGAGGCATGCAGACGAGGGGAGGGCCAGGAGGCAGAGGCGAGAGCGGCAGGGGAGAGCAGGAGGAGGAGGGGCAGGGGGGGCTCTGCAGCCCCGCGGTAGGAGAGTGCGTGCATGGCCTGGCCGGCAAGGGCAGAGAGCAAGCGCGCGTCATGACAGATGAGTTCTGCTACTGCTGGCTCCAGCACTGCCCTCAGAGGGAGTCTAGCTGCCAGACAACCCACCCCGCTGCCGCTGCTGCCGCTGCCGGTGCTGCCGCTGGCGGTGTTGATAGTGGTGGTGGTGGCGGTGGCAGCGGTGGTGGTGATGGTGGTTCCTGTGATGGTTGTGACGGTTGAATTGGCTGTGGTTGTTGGATTGGCACTAGCAGCGCTTGTTTGCGTGGGAGTGGCAGCAGCAGAAGGGCCAGCAGCGGGTGCGGCAAGTGCCGCTGCGAGCACTGACGCTCCTGTGGAAGGAGAGGCTCGGAAGGAGGAGCGCAGGAGCAGCAGCAGGAGGAGGTGGTACAGGGGAGAGGGGCTCCCAGGGGGGGAGGCGGAGCGGGAGGAGGAAGAGGAAGAGGAAGAGGGCGCGAGGGTAGATGAGGGGATAGGGGACAACCGGGTGGGGGATAATGGAGAGGAGAGGGAGGAGGTAGTGGTAGAGGTGGAGGAAGAGGTGGAGGAGCGGGAGGAGGAGCGGAGCTTGAGGTCTGAGACGAAGGAGAGGAAGAGCGCCATAGGTAGGGGGAGACTGGGGCTGGCGGCTGGGTCTGATGGAGGGGGGAGGCGTACATAGAAAGGAAGGGGGAAGGCGATAGCAGTGACAAACACCAAGGGAGTTGTGAGACGGGTTCGAGGAAAGGGGGAAAGGGGGAGATTAACAAGACGGGAGTGGCAAGGGAGTGGCAAGGGAGTGGCATAGCACGGGAATGTGAAGGGTGTGAAGGAGTGGATGGCGTACAGCAATCCCAGAAAGGGGGAGATGGAGTGCACGTGAGGTGACCCCCCATGCAATCCCACCATTACCCCTGGCCCAGCCCCATCCCAGAGCCCAGGTCCCTTAAAGAGCCCAGCCCCATCCCCACCTGTATGTTGACGCACGCACCTATGACGGGTGGCCCCATCCCACAGCCCAGGCGCATGTGGTGGGTGGGTGGGTGGGCGTTGGCGCACCATGAGAGTGCACGTGAGGTCACCCCATGCAATCCCACCATGAGCCCCAAGCTCAGGCCCAGCCCCATCCCACAGCCCAGGCGCATGTGGTGGGTGGGTGGGCGTTGACGCACGCACCTGTGACGGGTGGCGTGTAGAGACCCATATCAAGCAGCCCGAGCCTCAAGTGGTTGAGAGCGGTGCGGAGGGAGGAGGCGGGGATGGCGGCTTGCGGCCAGTCGGGGTTGGCGGAGAGGGGGATGGTGATGTGTGCGGAGGTGAAGGCGGAGGAGAGACAGCTCGCCACGGCTGCTGCTGCTGGGGGCGCCAGTGCCACTAGGTTGGAGAGAGCTGGGGGGAGGGGGAATGAATGGGGAGAGAGATGGGGAGAAGAGAGGGAGGGAGAGGGGGAAAGAGAGAGGAAGAGTGGGGAGAGGGGGAATGAGGGTACAAGGTGGGGAAAGAGGGGTTATGAGACGCCGCAAAAGTCGGGGTTGGCGGAGAGGGGGATGGTGATGTGTGCGGAGGTGAAGGCTGCGGAGAGACAGCTCGCCACGGCTGCTGCTGCGGCGCCAGTGCCACTAGGTTGGAGAGAGCTGGGGGGAGGGGGAAGGGGAACAGGAGGGAGGACGGGGAGAGAAAGGGAGAGAGGGGGAGAGAGAGGACTAAGGATGGAGAGAAGGGAGAGAGATGGGGAGAGAGCGGGGGTGACGATGCAGGAGTGAGCGTGGAGAGGAGGAGAGAGATTGGAGAGGGGACAAGCTTGCGCTGTATGTTGCTTCAAAGGATTCTGAAAAGGTACCAGTTACCTTCGAGAATTCTCACTAACATCCCTCACACACACTGTTACTCCCCTGACCAAACCAGACTGGCAGGTCTCACCACTGGTGGCGGATTTGGGTGCGAGTTTCCCCGCAACCACGGCCTGCAGAATGGCCTCCACTGCTGCCGGTGCAGCCCGCACCACCGCCCACCCTGTCAACCCTCCTCCTGCACCTCCCTCCCCTCCCCCTCCACCGCCATTGCCTCCTCCTCCTCCTCCTCCTGCTGCTCCTGCAGCTGCTGCTCCCTCTCCTGCTGTGCCCCCGTGGGAGCTGTGTGCTATGCCCATGGCCCCCGGCACCACCCGTCGCAGCAACTCCCACAGCTCATGGGCGTCACACACATGGGCGGGTGCAAGGGCAGGTGAGGAGGGAGGGGGATGAGACGTTGCTGTTGGTGGTTGCGCAGCGTCGTGTGGTGAGAGGGTTGTGGCGGTAGTGGGGGTAGGGATGGGATTGGAAGCGGTAGCGGTGGTGGTGGTGGTGGTGGTGGTGGTGGTAGCGGTGGTGGTGGTGGGGAATGAGTGAGGGTTTTTCGGGTTGTCTAGAGTGAGGAGAGAAAGGGAGTGGGGCAGAGCGGCAGGGTTCAGCAGAGGTATAATTGGTGCTGCTGCTGCTGCTGCTGCTGCTTCTGCTGCTGCTGCTGCTGCTGCTTCTGCTGATGCTTCTGCTGCCGCTGCACAATTGCCCGACAATCCCATGCCACCAGCACCACCACCATCAGAATCAGCAGCAGCGGGAGCAGCAGCAGCAGCCTCGTCATTAACCGAAGCTGCCTCCCTGTTAGCCATACACAGCAGCAGCTCCAGCGACACATGGCATGTTCCCGTGCCTGCTGCTGCACCTGTGCCTACTGCACCCAGTCCCTGCACCCCGTTCACCCCTCCCCCACTCTCAGCACCATCCCTCCTTCCTTCCTCCTCCACTCTCACACGCGACCAGTGAGAGTTCCCCCTGGGATGATTGAGACTGAACACGCCCCTCTTCCTTTGACGCGCCTCAGAAGCCCTCCCATGCCCACTGGATCCGTCCGTGGGCGAGTACGAGGAGGAGGAGGAGGGTTTCCCATGCGCATGCGGGTCAAAACCAGAGAGTACCCCCCTGGACAGCGGCTCGAGAGACTCTTGCACCAGCAAGAGCAGCACAGCCGCGCGGGAGAAGATGTTGTGGCTGCCGGGGAGAAGGGCCGTGGGTGCGTGTGCAGGTGCAGCTGCTGCTCCTGCTGGTGTTCCTGCTCCTGGTGGTGCTGGTGGTGAATCGCGGTCGGCAGGTTGGATGGGCAGACGGCCAAAGGCCTCTGTGAGAGGCAGTAGCGCCGCTGCTACCCGGGGCAGCTGGTGGGAGGAGGACGGGGGAAGGGTGTGGGATGAGTTGGCAGGGGGATTGGGGGAGGTGAAATTTCAGTATAAGGGGGACGAAAGGAAGAAGATGAGAGCAGGGAATGGGAGTGAACCAGGAAGGCAGTCAGGCCAGGGCATGGTATGGCATGGCATGTCAGGGCAGAGGGCATGGCATGTCAGGGCAGAGGGCATGGCATGGCATGGCATGGCATGGCATGAAAACTCACTTGGCCGTGCAGTCGGAGCACATGGGTGGCAGATCGCCCCAGCAACCCTGCCAGCAGGCGATCCAGAGACGACATGGCTATGCCTGACGCTGCTGCTGCCGCTGCTCCTCCTCCTCCTGCTGAGGCTGGTGCTGTTGCGGAAGGCGCGTGGGCAGCAGCAGGGGGAGGTGGGGAGGAGAGGCGAGGCGAGTCGGAGAAGAAAGGAGGCAGGGCGGCGGGTGTAGTGGAGGGGTAGACCCGCAAAGCAGCGAGGATGGCTGAGCGGGAAAGAGAGGAGAGCAGGTGCGTCACTAGGGATGCTGCTAGCTCCTGTGAAGGGATGGGGAGGGGGGGAGAATGGGAGAGGAAAGAAAGAGAGAGAGAGAGGCATTGAGAGAACGGTGATAAGGTGAGGTGGGACACGCTTCCATTCCACCACCCCCACCCTCAACACTCCCTCAGCCTCCCTCAACCCTACTTAACCGCCCATACCCCTCCTCCTTCTCCTCCCCCCCCAATGCACCTGCAGGTGCCAGCTGATCACCCATCGCCCCTCCTCACCCATCGCTCCTCCTCACCGATCGCCCCTCCTCACCCATCGCCCCTCCTCACCCATCGCCCCTCTCCACCCCTCGCCCCCCATCGCCCCTCGCCCCCCATCGCCCCTCATCACCCATCTCATTCCCCTCCTCCTCCTCCCCCCCCAGCGCACCTGCAGGTGCCAGCTGAGGCGCAGAGTGGCACCGCAGAGCACAGACGCTGCAGCGGGCGCCCAGGGGGACTCCGATGCTGCCAGGTGGAACGCCAGCAGTAGCTCCTCCTGACTGCCCGTGGGAGGTGCGGGAGAAAGGGGAGAAAGGAGGGGAGAAAGGAGGGGAGACGGGAGAATTTTGAGCGCCCAGGTGGGGGCGCCTCTAAAAGCGCCCAGGGGGACTCGGATGCTGCCAGGTGAAACGCCAGCAGCAGCTCCTCCTGACTGCCCGTGGGGATGGGGCGGAGAGGAGGGGAGAGGCGGGGAGAGGAGAGTGGAAGGAGAGGAGAAGAGAGGGGAAAGAGGTGAGAGAGGAGGGGAAGGTTAACGAGGAGGGTTTTTTCGGTGCTGCACCTGACTCTTCTCCCTGATATACCGAAGCACCTAGTGGTGAAGGAAAAGGTGCTGCAAGCAGGAACAGAACGAACTTATGTTTGGGAGCGGTTTCCTAAGCGCCTAGGGCACGTGGTGGGTGCCTCAAAAGAGCGAGGCAGCCCCAGTTCAGTGGGTGGGTGGGTGGGTGGGTGGGTGGGTGGGTGGGTGGGTGGGTGGGTTTCCTGGGTGCTCCATGCTCGACGTGCCTCAGAATGGCCTACCTCGTGGCTGGGTGTGCGGAGAGCGAGGCAAAGAGCGGGAGCGAGAGAGGGCCGTTGGCAGTGAAGTGAGACCACGCAGCCGACCCCCCCATGGGAGACTGCGCTGCAGAGGCCGCAGAGGAGGCAAGGGCGGCAGAGGCGACACCACCAGCGGCAGCAGCAGCGGAAGCGGATGGGGCGGTGGTGGGTTGGGTGCAGAGGCGGAGGAGGGGGAGGCCTGAGGAGAGGAGCGGCAGGAGGGTGAAGGCGGTGGCAGGGGGGATGAGGCCCCGGCGGTAGCATGCCTCCACTGTGAAATGCCATATGGTGAGCTCTGCATGGGGGGGGAGAAGGGGGGAAAGAGAGGAGATGGTGGGGAATGGAGAGTGACATGGTCTTTTGCAGCGTTTCAGAAGTTGGGATGAGGCCCGGGCAAAAGCATGCCTCCACTGTGCACGCACCCGCGCATGCGCATGTGCATGAGAGTGCAAGCAAGCAAGCACGGAGCAACGGAGCAACGGACCTTCAGCAGAGGCGCCGAGGGCAGAGGCAGTGGCATGGGAGACAGCAAGGGGCGAGCCAGCGAGGAAGACCGGCAGGTGCAGGTGCCGGAACACACGTGCCGACCCCAGCGCCCCCACCAGCCCCTCCTGCACCGCTGCCTGCGCCTTCTCCACTGCTGCTGCTGCTGCCGCCGCTGCTGCCGCTGCTGCTGCTGCTGCCGCTGCTGCTTCTGATGCTGCTACTTCTGTTGCGGCTGGCAATGATGATAATGGATGGGTGGCTGCAGCAGCGGTGGTAGCACCAGGAAATTTCTCCTCCCCTTCCTCGTCCTCCTCCTTTTCATCCCCTACACCCTTCTCCTCCAGTTCCATCCCCTCAAAATCCACAGTCAACACATCCTCTTCCTCCTCCCCCTCCTCCCCCTCCTCATCCCCCTCCTCATCCCCCTCATCCTTCCCTCCACCTCTCCCATCCACCCCCTCCCCCTCTACCATCCCGTCCATCCCCTGCCAAGGCCGTTTCCTCTTCCCCCCCCCTCCTGCACCTCGTTTCCGCCCACCCGCTACCCCTAACTGCACTACACCTCTACCATCTCTCCCCTTTCCTCTCTTTCGCGCACCCATGCCGCCTCCTCCTCCGTCCCCCGCCCGCACCTTCTTCTCGCAGAGCTGCAGCAAGCTGGCAACGGCCATGGGCCCCAAGCACAGGCACAGGGACAAGCGCCCGTCCTCGTCTGCTAAGTCGTACGGCGTGGGCGGGGAGGGCGGAGCAGGAGAGAGAGAAGACGTCGCAGCAGCAGCAGAAGGGTCTTGGGATGGGAGAGCGGATGGAGAGGCGGAGGAGGATGAAGGGCCGGCAGGGATGGAGCTTGCCTGGGGGATGGGGAGGGAGGGAGGGCAGGTGAGGGTGGAAAGAGCAAGGGCAGAGAGAGCGAGGACATTGAGAGGAAGGCGATGATAGTTGGGTGGGGATGCGAGAGAAGGAAAAGGGACAAGGTTGAGACGTTTATGATCCAGAGATAGGAAGAGAGAGAGGAAGAAATACGGAGGGCACACATGAGGCGCATGGGGCAGCGCATGGGGCACACATGGGGCACACATGGGGCAGCGCATGGGGCGCATGGAATAGGTGCGTGAAGGAAGGATTGCGTGTGACAGGGGGTGTACGGTACGGTACGGACAGAGGATGGGGAGCGAGCGACGAGGCGGAAGAGCGAGAGGAAGAGGTGCAGCAGGCACTCATGCCATGACGCCCCGTGCACCTGCTTCACTGCCAGCACCGCCTCTGATGCGCACAGGGAGAGGAGGGGACATGGGGGAGAGGAGGGGAAATGCGGGAGAGGGGAGAGGGGGGAGAGAGGGGATGGAGGGGAGGGTGAAGAACGATAAGAAAACAGGGGCAAAGAAAAGCCTCACCCGTCTTGTTCCTTATTACTTACTTGACTCATATCCTTCCTAGATCAATCCCATATCCCTCCTGCATCCCTCCTCCTGCATCCCTTCTCCCGTCCTGCCCTCCCATCCCAACCCATTATCACATCCTCTGCCCCTCACTCTGTCGCCACTCCCAACCACTCTCACCACTCTCCCCCCCTCACTCCCCCTATCCCCGCTACGCACCAGCGATATTTTCAGGCAGAGCCCTACTGCCGTCATCACTCCAGCAACACCCCCTTATCACATCCTCTCTACCCCTCACTCTGTCACTACTCCCTCACAACTTAAACAGCCCCCAATCCCCCCGCCTTCAGCTCCCCCCTCTCAGCCACCCACCAGCAATACTCTCAGGAAGAGCCCTACTGCCGTCATCACTCCAGCAGCACCCCACCAGCAGAGGAGGCGCCAGCACACCCGCACCACTGCCATCACCCCCACCACTGCTCCCGCTGCTTGCAGGGCTGCGGGCAGCGATGGTGGTGGGTGCGGCAGGGACTCGCTTGCTGGTGATGAAGGCCTCTAGAAGCAGATCTAGGGCCACCCAGGGCGATGGGGATGGTAAAGCCGCACAGGGTGATGCTGGTAGGGCCCGCAACGGCTGCTGCTGCCGCTGCTGCTGCTGCTGCTGCGGCGGCTGCTGGTGTTGCAGTAGCTGCTGCTGGTGATTGGGAGGATGCTGCTGGTGGTGGTGGTGCTGGTAGTCGTTTTCGTGGTGGTGTTGCTGCGCTCATGGATTGCAGGAGGAGAGGCAGGAGGGAGGTAGAGGAGGGCCGAAGAGTGGAGCTGGGACGGAGACTCAAAGCGCTTCTAGCTCCGCTCCTGGCCGAAGCTGCTGCCGCAGCCAACGCCGCTGCTGCTGCTGCTGCTGCTGCTGCTCTTGTTGCTACAGGTGATGCTGCTGTTGTCGCTGCAGGTGATGCTGCTGCGGCGCTGACAACAGCTGAGCCTGCACCAGAAGCGCCCTCTCTTAACCCCCCTCCAAGGAGGCCCTGACCCACAGCAGCAGTCACACTCCCTGCTGCTTTGCTCCCCTCCATTCCACCACCACCTCTCCCCTCCCCCGCTCCCTTTCCCAGTCCTCTCCCTCGCCGCACCAACGTTTGAACCTTGCATGCTCGTGCCAGCAGCAGCGAAGCGGAGGCAGATTCAGAAGCAGGGAAGAGGTGCGGTGTGAAGGGTGGGAGGGCGAGGGAGGAAGGGAGGGAAGGGGGAGGAGTGGTAGGCGGCGGGGAAAGGAGGGAGTGGTGGGGAACGGAAGGGGAGGAGGCGATGGTGGCAGCTAGACGGTTGGTGAGGGAGGTGAGGGAGAGGAAGCGGTTGAACATGAGAGGCCTGGAGCGGATGGGATGGGATGGGGAAGAAGAACAAGGGGTTGTATTTTTGAGACGAGACGACTCAAGAAAGGAAGCAGAGGAACAACGGGATGGCATGAGACTTATGTGGGGCAGAGGAACGACAGGGGGAATAGGAGAGGCGAGAGGGGGAGCGGGAGATGGGGACGGGGCCGCGGGTGGAGTAAACTGAGGCATCTGGTTGTCATGAGCTGAATAATTCTAATATGTTAGGGCGGCTGGCAAATGAACCTTTGATGATTTAAACATGCGGAAGGGGAGGAGGAGCTGTGCTAGCATGGTTGTGCTGCATGGTCTATTGCCGCATGGTCTATTGCCGCATGGTCTATTGCCGCATGGTCTATTGCCGCATGGTCTATTGCCGCATGGTCTATTGCCGCATGGTCTATTGCTGCATGGTCTATTGCACCATGGTCTATTGCTGCATGGTCTATTGCTGCATGGTCTATTGCTGCACGGTCTAATGCTGCATGGTCTAATGCTGCATGGTCTATTGCCGCATGGTCTATTGCCGCATGGTCTATTGCCGCATGGTCTATTGCCGCATGGTCTATTGCTGCAAGGTCTATTGCTCCACGGTCTATTGCTGCAAGGTCTATTGCTCCACGGTCTATTGCTGCATGGTCTACTGCTGCATGGTCTATTGCCGCATGGTCTATTGCCGCATGGTCTATTGCCGCATGGTCTATTGCTGCAAGGTCTATTGTTGCATGGTCTATTGCTGCACGGTCTATTGCTGCACGGTCTATTGCCGCATGGTCTATTGCCGCATGGTCTATTGCCGCATGGTTTATTGCCGCATGGTTTATTGCCGCAAGGTCTATTGCTCCACGGTCTATTGCCGCATGGTCTATTGCCGCATGGTCTATTGCCGCATGGTCTATTGCCGCATGGTCTATTGCCGCATGGTCTATTGCTGCAAGGTCTATTGCTGCATGGTCTATTGCTGCATGGTCTATTGCCGCATGGTCTATTGCCGCATGGTCTATTGCTGCAAGGTCTATTGCTGCATGGTCTATTGCTGCATGGTCTATTGCTGCATGGTCTATTGCTGCAAGGTCTATTGCTGCATGGTCTATTGCTGCATGGTCTATTGCCGTATGGTCAATTGCCGCATGGTCTATTGCTGCAAGGTCTATTGCTCCACGGTCTATTGATGCAAGGTCTATTGCCGCATGGTCTATTGCCGCATGGTCTATTGCCGCATGGTCTATTGCTGCACGGTCTATTGCTGCATGGTCTATTCCTGCATGGTCTATTGCCGCATGGTCTATTGCCGCATGGTCTATTGCCGCATGGTCTATTGCCGCATGGTCTATTGCCGCATGGTCTATTGCCGCATGGTCTATTGCCGCATGGTCTATTGCTGCAAGGTCTATTGCCGCATGGTCTATTGCCGCATGGTCTATTGCTGCAAGGTCTATTGCTGCATGGTCTATTGCCGCATGGTCTATTGCCGCATGGTCTATTGCCGCATGGTCTATTGCTCCACGGTCTATTTCTGCAAGGTCTATTGCCGCATGGTCTATTGCCGCATGGTCTATTGCCGCATGGTCTATTGCCGCATGGTCTATTGCTGCATGGTCTATTGCTGCAAGGTCTATTGCTGCATGGTCTATTGCCGCATGGTCTATTGCCGCAATGATCTATTGCTGCAAGGTCTATTGCTGCATGGTCTATTGCTGCATGGTCTATTGCCGCATGGTCTATTGCCGCATGGTCTATTGCTGCAATGTCTATTGCCGCATGGTCTATTGCCGCATGGTCTATTGCAGTATGGTCTATTGCTGCATGGTCTATTGCTGCAAGGTCTATTGCTCCACGGTCTATTGCTGCAAGGTCTATTGCCGCATGGTCTATTGCCGCATGGTCTATTGCTGCACGGTCTATTGCTGCATGGTCTATTCCTGCATGGTCTATTGCCGCATGGTCTATTGCCGCATGGTCTATTGCCGCATGGTCTATTGCCGCATGGTCTATTGCCGCATGGTCTATTGCCGCATGGTCTACTGCCGCATGGTCTATTGCTGCAAGGTCTATTGCTGCATGGTCTATTGCTGCATGGTCTATTGCTGCAAGGTCTATTGCTGCATGGTCTATTCGCAAGGTCTATTGCCGCATGGTCTATTGCCGCATGGTCTATTGCTCCACGGTCTATTGCTGCAAGGTCTATTGCCGCATGGTCTATTGCCGCATGGTCTATTGCCGCATGGTCTATTGCCGCATGGTCTATTGCTGCATGGTCTATTGCTGCAAGGTCTATTGCTGCAAGGTCTATTGCTGCAGGGTCTATAGCCGCATGGTCTATTGCTGCATGGTCTATTGCTGCAAGGTCTATTGCCGCATGGTCTATTGCCGCATGGTCTATTGCTGCAAGGTCTATTGCTGCATGGTCTATTGCCGCATGGTCTATTGCCGCATGGTCTATTGCTGCAAGGTGTATTGCTGCAAGGTCTATTGCCGCATGGTCTATTGCCGCATGGTCTATTGCCGCATGGTCTATTGCTGCAAGGTCTATTGCCGCATGGTCTATTGCCGCATGGTCTATTGCCGCATGGTCTATTGCTGCATGGTCTATTGCTGCAAGGTCTACTGCTGCAGGGTCTATTGCCGCATGGTCTATTGCTGCAATGTCTATTGCTGCATGGTCTATTGTCGCATGATCTATTGCTGCATGGTCTATTGCTGCAAGGTCTATTGCTCCACGGTCTATTGCCGCATGGTCTATTGCCGCATGGTCTATTGCCGCATGGTCTATTGCCGCATGGTTTATTGCTGCAAGGTCTATTGCTCCACGGTCTATTGCTCCACGGTCTATTGCCGCATGGTCTATTGCCGCATGGTCTATTGCTGCAAGGTCTATTGCTGCAAGGTCTATTGCTGCATGGTCTATTGCTGCATGGTCTATTGCTGCATGGTCTATTGCTGCAAGGTCTATTGCCGCATGGTCTATTGCCGCATGGTCTATTGCCGCATGGTCTATTGCCGCATGGTCTATTGCCGCATGGTCTATTGCTGCATGGTCTATTGCTGCATGGTCTATTGCTGCAAGGTCTATTGCTGCATGGTCTATTGCCGCATGGTCTATTGCCGCATGGTCTATTGCTGCAAGGTCTATTGCCGCATGGTCTATTGCCGCATGGTCTATTGCTGCAAGGTCTATTGCTGCATGGTCTATTGCCGCATGGTCTATTGCCGCATGGTCTATTGCTGCAAGGTCTATTGCTGCATGGTCTATTGCCGCATGGTCTATTGCCGCATGGTCTATTGCTGCAAGGTCTATTGCTGCATGGTCTATTGCCGCATGGTCTATTGCCGCATGGTCTATTGCCG